GAAAGTATTTTTTAATTAATAAAAAAAACATTAAAAATAGCTATCTATATAATGCAGTAAAGGAAGAAACTAAAATGATTATCTTTAAATATTTCATAATGCAACACTTTTATACTTTTATACAATTACTAAGAAAAACGTGAGTCGTAGTAGTTTTTATCGTAGTTAACATTTTTTTTTGATTATGTTGATATAACACTTTTTATTTGTGATCATGTTGATAAGTAGGTTACAACACTTTTTAATTGTGATTGTATATAGTTAAAACTGGTGTCACACTCCCCCCCCCCCCCCCCCCCACCGCCCATTTTGACGAATGCTGTAAATGTGTGCACACATTATTTTAATTCACCTATTAATTAAAGTGGGAAGAAGCAACATTTTCATAGTTTAATCTTGTCACCCCCACCCCGAACATTCACCGACTTATCACTTATTAAGAGTATTCAAATTAACTTTTTTCCTCTGTACATTTTGCATTTGGCGTCACCCCCCCCCCCCCACACACACACCCCACCCTCACGCGGTGATAGCTCTAAGTTGTGCACAGTTGATAGTAACAATGTGTATCTATAATCGGTTATTGATACAGCTGGATGTAGCACTGTGTTCTCTATAATTAACAAGTTTTCGTCAAGGTGTCACCTCTCTTCCCTTCCCCCCCCCCCCCTCCCTGCTCTCCCTTTGTCGGGATCGTGAAAAATACTTTTTTAACTCTAATTAATCATTACTTATTCAGACAAACAGCATTTTTCTTCTATACATTTTGCAATTTTTCGTCTTGGTGTCACCCCCCCCCTACGTGGTGTTGCCGGCGCGGTCAGCACCCACCCCCCCCCCCCCCCCGGCCCGCCCCGCGACGCCTCTGCATACATGCACACCTTGCGATGGAGAGTTCCGGCCTCGACCATCATAGCCACGAAAAAAAAAACGTCGTGGAGTAAAGCAGACGATAAACAAATTGAAAATCATTACAGCCATCCGGCCAAACTTTTCGTCTCGGTTGGAAACGTAATCCGATTAGCCCTGTGTAGTCATAGCTTTTCGCCAGTTTGTTTTGTCATTCAGCTTGAACTAGCAGGGAAAATATGACCCAGTCGCAAGCTGAAAAATGGATGAAAACACTGAGCGTGGCAAACAGTATTTTTTTTTAAATTAGGGGCTACGAATTATCCACTTTCCCCAAAATCTAATTAAATGGTAACGTTTTAAGTTTGTACTTTTGCGCTGAGTGGACCAAAATGATGAATGAAAACAGAAAAAAGATGTCTTGAACGCGATGATGCCTAACATAAAATACTTTTAAAAAACTTTTTTCTATTGAAAAAATGTGTATTTTTGTGATAATGAAACATTGTTAAAAAATAGAAACAAAGCGCTCATCACTTACTTTTATAAATGGGTGATAGGTGAATTAATTCCCACGTTTTCTTTAACTTGCTTTCGCGTCTGTTTGGTTCTCCAATCAAATCTTGAGATCGATATTTCGGGCACTTCCCAGTTAGCTAGCGCGCTGAAATTTTCAGGGAAGCTTTGTTTCCGATGACCATAGAATATTCAATTGTTATTATTACTAAATTGATCCATGGAAACATTTTATTGAGCATTTTAGACCGCTATATAATTGTAGTAAAAAC